TGGGGCAGGTTTTCTCCAAGTACTTCGGTTTCCCCTGTCAATCTTCATTCCACCAATTGCTCCACAATCACCCTCACCTATCATCTGGGGCTGGTACAATAGGCCAGAAGTGGCCACAGTATAAGGCACTTAGTCCCACCCCACTAGCAATAAAAAAATAATACACTGCCTTACAACAAAGAGATTCCTATAAAAATGCACCTGTGATAATTAATGCAGAAGAAATAATATCATTTTTTCTCTTCTGTGAATATGACTGCAACAGAGCAATTTTCTGCTACAGCCACATAGTGGGTGGAGCTACTGTTGCAGTTAGAACCCATTTACCAATAATGGCACTTAGACAGTAGCTCCTCCAAAACAGAAGTCCATAGCAACACAGCTACATGTACACGCTTGGCAGAAAAGTATTACTTTCTAAACCAAAATAAGGTAATTCCCAATAAAAGTAATATATTGTAGCATGCAGACCTGTTGTTAGTCAAACACCATGAAACAAGTAACTATGAAATAGCCGTTGCTAGGTAACAGCTCTGCAAACAGACAAAAACGCAACAATTGCACTGCAATAGAGATAATGTGCTTTCTACAAGGTCCGTGGGGAGATGCTGTAAGCAGAGCCAGTTAGCTGTTAGGGACAGAAACCTCACCCAGCTCATTCCTTGGCTGCAGCCATGCAAAAGGACAACTACAAATGAGAAAAGCACAATGAGCTACTGAGGATCCTCTGGGAGGACATTCTTCTCTAAGTACACCTCTCAAAAGCAGTCCTACGCAGCTGCACTTTGTCAAGACAGCAACACCAGCAACCACAGGCACTGCAGACAGATGGAAAAGCATGTGGCACCCCATGCAGCAGCATTTGCCATAGCAGGAAATTCAGAAAAATCGTCTGTCAGTAGAGGCTCCCAGTTTGTCTAACAGTGACAAGTTAAAAGTCACCACTGTTATGCAACAGATCATCATAACAGAGCTCGGTGAAGCTGTCAGAAAAAGACAAAATAATGGTCACACACAAAAATGGTGCTTAATGAAACAAGAAGCTACAAGGGTTTGCATAATTATTGTATAAAATTTAATAAAACAACCAGGTTTTAATAGAAGTAGCTCTTTAATTGAATACAAAATTGATAACATTATATTACAAAGTAAATGTTACGTTTTTAAGCCCTTGAACATTCTTGCCAATAAGAACTTTTCAGCAGAGTCCCCACGGCTGGCAGGTGGTTTTACAACCCTTACATGATTGTAGAACTTTGCAATGTCCTGTTCCAATCTGTTGGATTCACGCCCATCCCATATCTTAAGTAGGACAGATCCACCCACATACGATACCTGCAGAGCAAAGCGCAATGCAGAATAAGCCAAATGCACAATATTCTCATGGTCTATATCACGAACACCAGTTGCATTTGGAGCCATGTCACTCAAAACAATGTTAACTTTCTTGCCATTCAGCAGTTCCAGGACTTTCGCTTGGGCAGAAGCTGCTGTGAAATCCACACCACCCATCAATATGGCACCTTCTATGGGGTATATTGGGTTACGATCGACAGCTATAACTTGTCCGGCAGGCTTCTTGGCATCTGTAAGAACACAACTGACTTCAACTGTAAGATGATCAACAAGATGTGGCCAAAGGTATCTCTAATGTAAAGTTGCAGGGAACAAATTTGCCTTTATAGCTTAATTTCTCTTATGATTATTTTTATTCATTATTTGGAAAACCAAAACAGTTTGTCTCGAGCGATAATGTTACTGGTATTACTGCAATCACCCAATCATTAAGCCAATAGTCTCGAGTTACTAACAATGTAATTATACACCCATAAACTACAAATCAATAACATTTTGAGGAGAAGTTTAGAGAAAAGAGAGAAATTTTATCCTGCAGATTCTGAGAGATGTTTGACAGGCAAAAGAACCTCTCACATCATCAATCCTGTCCTTGAACCAGTGACATACATCTGAGGCATTCCTACATGACAGAAAGTGCCCCCAAAATAACTGGCATATCACTGTATAAATGGTAAGATTCTGACAGATATTACATGTATTACCAAAAAGATATACATCAAGACTTCTTATATGTCAATTTGTTTGTGGTTTATTTTACCACACTGTCAGTAGCTTGACTACAGAGTGTTGAATTACAGCATTATAAATTAATTATGAATTATAAAGGATGTGGAAGGAAGTGACTTGGCATAATTGAAGTACTACTCCATTTTCATTTGGGGGGGGGGGCAATGAAAAACTGCAGTTAAAATAGGCAGTCTGTGAGCCAAAATCATTAGTGTTAAAGCAAGTGTCACATAACTTCGAACAAGGCCAAGAGTAACCTTGAATGCGCAGAAAAAAATTTCAGACAAGGGGGTGGGTTCGTGGGTGTGAGAAGTCACACGCGGCCAATTGTTTCTTCTGCGCATTCAAGGTTACTCTTGGCCTTGTTCGAAGTTACGTGACACTTGCTTTAACAAATTATCTTTCCACATCATTTGTAGGAAGAAAACCACCGAAGATTTATACAATGAACTGATAGCCTTGTTATATGAGTTATGTTTGGAAAATAATGCATTCATTGGGGAATCTAAAACTTATCACCGTTAGGAAATGTATAATGACTTTAGCTGTTTACATCAGTGTAAAATAAAAGNAAAAAAAAGGACAAGCAACAAGAGACCAATTATGAAGATTGCACAATACCAATGAAGCATCATGGGAATGCAATGTAAGTTGAAAATGGTTAAAAAATGGACGAGAAGTCTTAACTTTTTAACTGAATCACAAAAGAGTGTCACCTTCTAGGTTGAAGTGCCATATTATCTGGTAGAAATCCACTGATATTTCAGAGGAATGTACACAGATGCACAGCATGTTTATCACATAAGCCTACTTTTATTTTTTCAAAATGATGAAAGTAGGCTAAAATAATACAACACTGCATAGTGTTATAATTTTTACCTTGCATTCTGGTAACTATATTATCAAGAAGAAACGTTTCAGTGAGAAGTTGAGAGACCTCATGAGAATGATATTTTATGTCTTACCTATTTCTTATATGAATTTGCGTGGATTAATTATACTGAAATGAAACGATAATTTTTGGTGTGGAACCCCAATACCAAGTGCCACTGAAATTTGCTCAGTGCCAGGTAGTTTTAGAGAGTAAATATTGGTATGAGTAGACAGCAATGTATTTTGCATTTGCCTGTAATTTTATGTAAGAGCATATAATACACATCACCATCGATTTATTTTCTAAAAGCATGTTTGTTAGTACAGTACTTGCACACTTGATTTTAGCATCAAAGGTAGTAAAACAGTATAATTAATCAAAAATTAATTTAATACTGAAAATGGAGTACCTTTCCCAGTAGCATTAACTCTGTGTGCTGCAACTTGAGTCCAACTTCCAGGTGCTGCACCACAATCAACAACATAATCTCCAGGAGATAGCACTTTGAATCTGTCATCAATCTCAATCAGTTTAAATGCACTGCGACACCTATTAATATACAGTGTAATATAATGTATGCAAATGACATGTAACAGTACAGACTAAGGTTACACTGAGAAAATGAAGTTCACTGACAGAACACTGGATTTTCACTTATTTAAATGTATCACAGGAAGGGTTCTGAGGTCTATCAGCTTTCATATCTGCTAGCATAGGTAGTTTCCCTAGGGTAAAGAAGACATTACCATGAGGATGGCCTGTTCAATTTTACTAGTGTTAAAGAACAGAGTTCACATGATGGCTTGATATTGTGCTACAGAATGCGTAATTAAGCAGCACTATCAAACCAAAGGGGTGCTGGATTAGCTCAGACAGTACAGCAATGCACTATGAACTGAAAAGTGGGGGCTCCATTCCCAGCAGTGGCAGAAGATTCTTCTCTATTCCACACCATTCAGACTGACTCTAGAGCCTATGTAGCCTCCTACCTAATGTGCATCTAGGACTCTTTCCCCCAGAGGTAAAGGGGCCAGAGCGTGAAGCTGATCACTCGACTACATTCAATGCAGGGTGAAGAATGGTGGAGCTATACCCATATTCATATATACATCGTCTTGGTGTGGTAATTAATTAAGCACAGGGGCAAGTTCACCTTTATAAAGTCAACAGTCGCTGCAGTAGTGCAATGCTGGAACTGATTATTCCTTAAATTTCGATTATTAATGAAAATTTACCAACAATTTACATGATGGGTTCCGAGAGGTTTCGACATCCTCGCAGATGGGCAGTTGTCAGAAATTTCTTATCTATACTATTGCTTGTATGCAGGCAATATCGCTGCCATAATACGTTACGTCCATCGTCTACAAATGTATATTAATGCCGCATTTAAAGCCCATCGTCGTATATATTAACGGAGATTTGAAATAGCCGAATTATGAGCCACTTTAGTTATTTACTGATCTTAAAGAAGTACATAATACCTGTAGTTTAATCTTCTGGCCTTTTCTACGTATGGATCGGTAAGCTGCCTTGTTAACCATTCTTGTGAACTTTTGCTTCGACCTTTCAGATCTTTTGGAACTTCTTTATACAGGTGATAGTACGTGCTAATACATTTCACTGTTTCATTACATTTCTTGGTCTTGATAGTGTGTAACAATTGCAAGTTCATGTTTAACATATTTAGTACATTGAGGTTAAGTTACCTCACAAACCGCCATGACGTTATGTTGTTCATCAGACGTACGTGATCCGTGGTCAGATCGGTCAACACCGGTCAACACTATGTTAAGAAGATATCATTGGTCAAATTTAGATTCCTTGAATGCGATTGGTTGAACGACATGTCAATAAAGATGGCATCTAGTATGTCGTAGTTGGAAATGATATGTCGTAAAATATATATAATTTATTGTCTGTGAACTTACTTAGTACTTTAAAGATGAATTTAGGCGTGTCAAATCCACATGGAAATGGTCTTTTGTATGCTGGCTTTAATCAAGATCAAGGTATGTTGGAAGTCATGTGTCACGTTAGTGTATAGTTTTGACAGGGTTTAAGTTGCCGCATATAGAATGTTCGCTGCTGCGTTGTGTATGCGCGTGTATAGCAGCACTGTAAAATTGTTATAATTTTCAGGTTGTTTCGCCTGTGGAATGGAAAATGGCTTTCGAGTGTACAACTGTGATCCACTGAAAGAGAAAGAACGACAGGATTTTGCAGGAGGAGGCTTGAGCTATGTTGAAATGCTTTTTCGGTGCAATTATTTGGCCCTTGTTGGTGGGGGACCAAGACCGCTTTACCCACCAAACAGAGGTAATAAAGCTGTTGCCTCGAATATTTCCACGTACGATCTAAAAATACAGCTGTAATTAAGCCTGTAATTGGCATAAGACAAGTAGTCGAAGACAGCCAGTGGTCCTCCAAGCTCTTGACATGCGAACGTAATATAGTATTTAAAATAATCATTTAATAACCAGACCAGGAATGTATCCACAGTTCTGTTAGAGACATACACTTGATGAACATTTCAGTTACATGTGACCTGTAAATTAACTTCCATGCATACCTAGTAACTCCATGGAGGTGAGACCGTCTTGAGAAGTCAGTGGTTGCTCAGGTACTCAAGTATTGCCAACAATCTGTGGAACCTGAAGGTCCATTACTGTGTTAACAAGAGCCTACCACTGGTTTATGTCCTGAACCACATTAGTCCAGTTCATACCCACCATCCTGTTTCTCTAATATGCATTTTAATGTTATCCCCTATTTATATCTGCAGCTTCATAGTGGTCAGTTTCCTTCTGGCTTTCCCACCAAAATTGTGTATGCATTCCTATTCCCCTCAATGTATGCTACATGCACAGCCTATCTCATCCTCCTTGACTAAATCATTCTAATTATACTTGGTGAAGCGTACGTGAAGTTTTCTCCAGCCTCCTATTACCTATCCCTTTTGGGTTCAGCTGTTGCCCTCAGCACCCAGTTCTTGAACATCCTCAGTCTGTGTTCCTCCCTTAATGGCAGAGACTTAAGTGTCTCACCCATACAGAACCAGAAACAGAATTATAGTTTCTGTATGTATTCATCTTGACATTTTGAGAAAGCATGTGAGAGGGCAAAAATTTCTGAATGAATCATAGGAAGCATTACTTGAATGTAATCTGGTTTTAATTTCCTCTTGAATGAGATATTACAGAAATGAGAACTAGGAATTTTCCGGGGTATAAATTGCAGCCAGCATGTAAGACTGACAACCTCACTGCCATCAATGAGCAGATTTTCTAGAAAATATGGGAGTCTCGACATCTCACAACCCTGTGGACCTCAGCAGCCTGTTAACAGTGATAGTTCTTTTTTTAAAACCTTTTACTGACATTTCCAAATACGTATTTGAACTTGGCCACGTGCTATGCTTATATTGTGATTTTGCATAGAGACCTACATTCATTTGCAAGTATTTGTGTATTATGGATGTGCAAACTTGTAAAGTTGACAGAGTGGGATGAAGTCATAAACTGCATAATGAGGATCTTCATAACCTGTACTCTTTCTTCTCCAAGTATAAGTAGAATGATCAAGTCAAAGAGGTTGAGATGAGCAGGGTGTGTAGCGTGCATGGGAGAAGACTGCATATAGAATTTCAATGGGAAAGCAAGAAGGAAAGAGACTGCTATGAAGTCTTAGACATATGTTGGAGGATAATATTGAGATAGATCTTAGAGTGGTAGGATGAGGTTGTATGAACTGGAATGATCTGGCTCAGGGTAGGTACCAGTGGAGGGCGCTTGTGAACATGGTAATAAAACTTCTGGTTCCTTAAAATTTTGGGAAGTTCTTCAGTAGCTGTGCGACTGGTGGCCTCTCAAGAAGGGCTCAGCTCCATGGAGTTTAGTTTGGTCTGGTCTGGTCTGTCTAGTCTAGTCTAGTCTAGTGTGCACCAGACCAGACCTCGTGACACACCTCCATCAAACCTGCAACATTCATACCAAATGTTGTGAAAATCAGTCATCTGGTTTGGAAATATCTCAGTCTTCCTTAAGAAAGGAAAGTATATTTAAAAATCTTGTGAAGAGCGTGGAACTTGGATGACATGTTATAGGTTCCATTGAACATTTGTGGGCTGGTGCGAACATGGTAATAAACTTTGAGTGTAGTGGTATAGTGACTGTTAGCTTTCAACAAAGGATTCTGCTATGCAGAGTTCTCTGGCAAATAGGAAGTTTCTTTTGTGATTTATTTTGTAAGTCTATCGATATATAGGCTGTATAGCATCAAGTGGTAAAATAATTGATGAATTGTGGACTGGAAAGAGTCATGCCCAAGCTGAGGTGCTACCCCACCATTTGGTTGGAGCGGCTGATGAAAACTTCAGTCAGAATGGCTGGTACCCCAACCAAGATTTGAACTGGGCACCCTCTGAACGTAAGATTGGAGCATTACTGCTACACCAGCCTCCTCAACAGGAAAATATGTTCTGTGTTTCCTATTTAATGACAGTGTCATTATCAAGATTTTATAGCACTGAATGGTAGGATCACTGATAAATGACGAATGGGAAAGAAGTTTGAAGGAGGTGATTGTGGCTTTATTCAAGATACTGTCTAGGAATTGGGGATAACTACAGAAAATCTCAGCCAAGGCAGCTGATATCCCAGCCAAGATTTGAGCCAAATACTCCCAAATACAACACTAGAGTGTTACCTGTAGACTAACCTGTTTAGTGAGGAAGTTTTGTGATGTGTGTGTTATGTATACATTTTTGTTTAGTTTTGAAGTATTTGAACACTGCAAGTGAATAAGCTAATATTTATTGATCCATAGTAATTTATGTGAATTAATTAGAATGTGATATTTCATTTGCACCCAGTATTTTGTAACTTTCAGTTATGGTGTGGGATGACTTAAAGAAGACACCAGTAATTGCATTGGATTTCAATGCTCCTGTACGAGGGGTTCGGTTGCGACGTGATAGGATAGTGGTTGTGTTAGAGGGTGTTATCAAAGTGTACACCTTCACCCAAGCGCCACAGCAGCTTCATGTGTTTGAAACAAATCCTAATCCCAAAGGTAAGAAACAGTAATGCACCAATAATGTATTTGCTTATTTTTCAAAGGCAAAGAAAACTGATCCTAAGGTAGGAGTATTCATATGGTTGAATTACATTTACTCCTAGTGATAAAGTTATCATGAACATGATGATCAACAGTGTTGCAGCTTAACATGACCTTTGGTGCCAAGTCATTATTCTCCATAATAACAATTTTGATTTTGTCAGTAAAGGACAGCAAAGACATACAAAAGTATGTGCCCTGTACAGGGCTCATTTTGAACCATGGACATTAGGCATAGTGATCCTGTATGCTAACATACATTAGCCAGGTCTCTGAATTGAAATCGCATTACTGGAATGTGACTTTTTGTATAGCTCAGATGGTATTTTAGTAACAAATACGTGTTTTGTTTGTCATATAGGTTTGTGTGTATTATGTCCAAATAGCAATAATTCCTTACTGGCATTCCCTGGACGCAAGACGGGACATGTTCAGGTTGTTGACCTAGCCAACACAGAGAGAGCACCACTTGACATAGTAGCGCATGAGGCAGCTCTTAGCTGCATAGCTCTCAATTTACAAGGAACTCGCCTCGCCACTGCATCTGAGAAGGTTTGTTTCTATGGTGATTTTTATGCTACTATATGTATCATGTTTCATAAAACCAACCTTCCATTGTTTTAATGATGTGTGTATGAAACATCAGTTTGTAAGTTCAGTACAAGATGTATCTTATAATAGCCTTGGTATGTTTAACGGTGTTTTCAGTAGCTCTGATCACGTAGTGTCATATGATAGGATGATTAGTGAGTAATGAATTGGAAAGGATGGTTAAGTAAGCAGTCGTGGACTAATTTGAAGTGCTATCCCACCATTTGTCTTGGACTGAATGAGTAAAACCATGAAAAATTCAATCAAGCTAACCAATAGGCCATGTCATAGCTCAGTCCGTTATTTGCTAGTTACCTGCCTCAGCATTCAGGGTCAGTTAGGTCATGTCCTGTGGGATTTGTGGTGGACAAAATGGAACAGAGGCCAGTTTTCTCCAGGTGCTTTGGTCTCTTCACCAGTTTTCATTCTGCCACTTGCTCCACATTCATCTTATCATTGACGCTGTATACTTGATACTTAAAGCATCATTAAGTGACCAACTTAAGAAAGAAATAAAGAATAGATGACCTCCAGGTTCAGTGTTTAACCTGGGACCTGCCAAATATGAAACAGTAGTACTACCCACTCAACCTTAACATTCAGTGACACAAGGTATAAAACTTATAAATTTTATTAAAATGTTTATGGTTTACTGTGTTGCATTGGCTTTGTATTTGAGCCTCATTTCTTATAAACTTATTGTCTTCGTCTCAAGCACTGTGGATGCAGCATGGAGTTAGAAGCTCCATTATCTCCATTTTTCCTCCTTGAACATTATGTAATCTTCATTTGTGTTAATTGATATGCATCCATGCATTATCCTGAAAGGTCTCAATTGCAACAAATATACATAACCTTGAAAATAATCATTTCCTGTCTGTGGATCTCTGGCTCTTATAATCACAGATACACTCCCTATTGATCCACTCTCCTGTATACTTATGTCATGTGTCAAGTGACTAAACATGAGGTCTGGGTAAGAAGAATCACTTAACATAATGTTTCTTACACCATATTGTACTACTGTTGTTTTGTCATTTCTTATGTATGTATGTATGCATTCTAGCAGCAGTCCTTATTTGTGGCCCATAGTACATCATTAAGTTGCATATGCTCTATTTCCTGCCAGGGTACTTTAATTCGAGTATTTGACACATCGTCAGGATCTATGATCAACGAATTACGGAGAGGGGCAAACACAGCAAACATTTACTGGTGAGGAGCTATATTTCTTGCAGTGTTTTTCACTATTATTTATCAATAAAAAGTAGTGATAGATTATGTGATCATGGCTTCCACTAGACATTCTGAACTCTTCTTATAACATATTTTATAACATTTATTTTCACAAGGTATTTGGTAACAGTTTGTTGTATAATGACACTATGTTGTTCACAGCATAAATTTCAATCATGATTCGTCATGGCTTTGTGTCTCCAGTGATCATGGCACTGTACATGTGTTTGCTGTTGAGGACCAGAAGCTGAATAGACAGTCCAGGTACGGTTATTAATGTTGTACACTGTAGTCCACATGACAAATATAAAGAAATTTGTTAGAATGTTAAAAATTACTCATTATGGATTTAATTTTAATTATTAGTAAAAGTATGTGGCTGTAATCAGAACTGTTTGATGAGAAAATATGACATACAGTTCAGATACAGAAGAATAAGCATGTGCTCTTACTTACAGGATTCTCAGGAAATCAATTATTTTTTGATCTGTTATGGTGATTAAGCAGGTAGGAAATGTTAAATCAATACTACCAACATTTATACAGTTTGAAACAAAAGCTGTAAAGAGTGCTATCTTCTTGGATGTTATGATCTGTGGTTTACCATTTTCCCTCAGAAATGTCAGTAAACTTCTGCCAAAGTATACAGTGTGACATCCCAGCGGATATTGCCCTTCATAGGTACCACCATGAGAACTGGAAAAATCCACATAATTTTTTTTGTGACATGATAGTGTTTGTTATGTAAGTAGAGAATAAGATGAAAATGTCAGTTTTAAGGTTCTCTTGACTGAATGTAAAAAATAAAATTTTCTGGGATGTGACACTGTAGTCTGGTAGAAATTTTCAGAGTTAAGAACATATTACCACCATCCTCAGCATCAGAGAATAAACCAAGCATGCAACCAGCAGAGCAGTGCTAGTAAGAGTGTAGGGAGCAGGCATTCACAATGTAATATTATTGTTACTGTAACAATTGCTGTTTTATGGTTATAAATATTACAAGTGGTCCCATTGGGCACTGAGGCAGGCATCTCATTGATGCATCAGCTGATAGATTTCCTCTTCAAAGAACTCCTGGGGTCCACCACTACAATCTTGATGTATATGTTGACCCTGAATCCATGATTCTTTAGTGTTTCCTGAGGGGACCAGACACACGGAAGTGACATGTCCAGGCCGTAGAGGTTGTTGAATGTCTCAAGACAGGTAGGCCACATGAGGATGGGCATTATCATGCAGCAGAGTGACACCTCTCATGAGCATGCCAGGCTATCAGTGCAAAAATCTTCTAGGGTTCCACAGTAATGCTGTGCACTGATGGTGATGATGGGGTAATAAAAGGAACTGAATGACAGCTCAGTGGTCTTATTTGGATGGAATTTGAACCTGCAGTGCCGGCATTTAACCATGTCATGCTGTTCCGATTTTCTTAATGCACCCATTCTGCAGCCCTGCTCATGATTAACTGATGATGTGTCTTGCACATAGCCACATGATCGTCTGTAACCAGCTGTATGATTTAGCAGCAGTGGAAACATTTTTATTTCTGCAAACTTCATATTAGTGTGATGGCAGCACACAAGCACACTGTTGGTATGTATTAACACTGTGCAAGATAGAAG